TGATTGTAGAGACATCCAGCACATATTTATTTTTATGGCGTAATTGATTGAACAGTGTTAAATTTCCTGTTGAATCACTGCCGATCAGGCAAGCAACAACAGTTACAACCCTGTGCCTGTGGGAAACAAACAGTTTCACAACCACCATTTTATCATACAGTTTTCAGGAATCTGTCAAGGCATGTGTGACATGCCTTGTTCATTTACTAGGCAGGAGTGGAGGGTTGACTGTCCCTACCTCAAATCACCAGGGCAATGTCCACAAGCAAAGCCCTGCCGTTTAAGACCCAAGTTTAGATTCCTTGTAGGAAAAAGGGGCTGCAAGTGATGATCAGTCCAGGTGGAGGGAGGAGCATGCAGACCTCTTGCTCCTTTGTTCAGCCTCTCAGAAGGCTTTGCCCTGGACTAGGAGTGACTATTGCAGCAGCTATGAAGAGATCTAGAATTTCTGGTCTTCTACCGTACCCCAAGCTGACACGGAAGTCAGTTTGGATTTAGCGGAAGAGCTTGGGCAGAACTGGCTCTTCTTCCACAATAGCCCTTGCTTCTACTAAGTCAGTTTTGCTTAACTACATTTCTAGAGTGGATAAAGTAGGCTCTGCTGCTTCATGTAACAGTAAGAGAAGGAAGAGAGCTTAGAGATCTGAAGTCTGATGTTCTTTGAAGATTAAAAACATCCCCTCGCCAAACAATAAACAAACAAGCTAAAACACACTGTGTGCCAGACTTACCCTAAGGGCACAGGTGCTATCTCATTAAGCCCTCAGAATGGTCCCATGAGTGAGGCACTGTCATTATCCCCGTTACAGTTGAGAAAAATGAGACCAAGAGGAGTAACTTGTCTGAGGTCGTCAAGCCAGAGGGTGGCTTTTGAATGAGGTCTTCCTGATTCAAAGCTGAACTCTCTACTCTGGCTTGGGGAACTAACTCCTTGTTCATTACCTAGGGCGATGAAGAAGGGCAGGAGGCAAAGAAATGGTCCAGAGAGAAAGTTTAGAAACATAATGACAACTTTTTGGGGGCACTTTTGTCAAAATGGAGCTCTGTACTCGGGATCAAATCTGTTCTGTGGTCCACAAATCTGAGAACAGTTCTATGTGACTGAAAACATCTCTATTGCAAAGCAAAGCATTTTCAGACTTTGCATGACTACAAAGCAAATATCTTTTTCTCAATATTTCTGGAAGGGTTCTTGCTCTGGCATGGTCTAGAGGTTGCCACATGTGGTTCTCAAGCCTTTATTTAGAGCTTTTTCTAATCCTCACCTCAAAGCCCCTCCATGCAACACTTGAAATGCCACATGTCATGGCCTCATCGAACCTGTAAAAATCAATCTCAGGAGAAGCCTGCCCTTAGACACACAGTAGAGTTCTCACTAAGTCCCAGCTCTTCTGTGATGCAACCCAATCTCCTCTCCCAATGTGTGTGTTTCACCACATCCACCTACATATAGCTCCAGCCTAAGGTGCGTTTAGCCTTGAGCACTCATGGTGTTTTGGGGAAGTCCCACTGGCTCACTATCTCTCGGGTCCACCATCTAACTCAACCCTAGACTGAAGCTGTATTTTAGGTCTTTGGGTTTCCATCCTCTACCTTGGCAGGGATGAAGATGTTGTTTCCTGGTCAAAGTTAAAAAGAAAGTATCTATGTTTCTGGCAAGAATGCAAATAATTAAAGACACTTTGGAAAACACTTTGGCAATTTCTTATAAAATTAAACATACATTTACCATATGATCCAGCTCACTTGTGAATATTTTCTGTAAAGAAATAAAAACACGCATTTACTAAAAACCTTACATAAGTGTTTCTAGAAGCTCTATTCATAACTACACAAAGCCCTTCAAAATAACCCACCTCTCTTTCAATGGGATAGATAAATAAATGGTGGAGTCCATGGCTACTTAGATACAGGAGGAACAAACTACTGATACATGAAATGACCTGTGTGAGTCTCAAAGGCACAGTGCAAAATGGAAGGAGCCAGTCTCAAAGGTTACAGACTGTGTTATTTTTATAGGAATTCTGGAAAAGGCAAAGGCATAATGATGGAGAAGAGATTGGAGGTGGCCAGGGTTTGTGGGTGGGGAAGAGGGTAGGTTTGACTTTTTTTTTTGGTACTGGGGATTGAACTCAGGACCTTGCACTTGTGAGGCAGGCGCCAAAACCACTGAGCTAAATCCCTGGCCCAGGTTTGAGGTTTTTTGGGGCAACGAGACTGCATGTGTATTGATTGTGGTGGGGGAGGGTGTATGGCTTTGTTCAGTGGTGGGGTGCTGACCTGCTAGCTGCTACAAATTAACTACCATTCATTTACCCTGCCCCCCAATTACCAGATGGTGATCCAAGTAGCAGCAGGGCGGGGGGTGCCGCTCAGCAAGAGCGCTTGCCTAGCATGTGCAGTGCCCTGGGTTCTGTCCCAGCAGTGTAAAAACAAAAGCCAAATAAGTGCCCTTGTGAAATTTTACACCTAAAATAAAATGTTAAAACCCAAAAGGAAAAGATCCATCTCTTCCAAAGCAATCTAGCAGCCACAGTCCCGGGGATTTCAAAGAAGGGCCAGTCATTGAGAACCCTGCCTATCTCTTCTGCTGCAGACCAGAGGGACGAAGCCTGTTGGGGGCTCCAGCTCTGGCACAGTAGGCCATCAACTGCTCCCTAGCTCAGGAGGAACACCTACCTGCAGACATCCCACTTCATCTTTCAGAGCAGGGAAGGGACTTTGGCCTCGAGATTTTCTCTTTATTCTGTTTTTTTGACAGTCTCACTGTTGTTCAGGTGGCCTTGAACTCAGTTATGTAGCCCAGGCTGACCTCCAGTCTTTGAGACGTTTCAAGTCCATGGGGATGCTGGGGAGCCACTAGGTGACTCTGGGGACAAAGTAAGTCACAAACTCCTTGGAGCTGTGCTCTACTTCCTGGGATTCCAGACAAAGGAAACCCATCTTCTTCTTCCTCCCCAGTTTATACACCAACTCTCAGTCACTCCACCCTGTTACTGTACTAGGAAAAGCCTCCGGAAGCAAATTAGCCTGAGTTGGCCCAGCTAGGCAGGAGCCGTGGAAGGTAGGCAGGAATAAGGGGAGATACTGGGAAGGGGAGCCTGGTGTGCCAGTTCCTGTATTGGTAGTGCTTCTGGCCTTGTTTGGTGCTTCTCACCTGTTGGTGAGGCTGGGAGCTCTGTGGATGACCCACATGCTGTGGGATTGTATCAGAAGGCAGGAGGAAAAAAGGCTAAGGTGGCGGCTTTAACCACTTTGTGATTTCAAGGGGGGAATTCTTGGAGTGGCAGCCTGTGGTATGAGTAACTGGCAAAGTCTTGGGGCAGAGGTGTGCTGTCCTGGGCGGGTCTGGGGCTGCCAACCTCAGCTGCCAGTACTTTTCCCCACTTACTCACCAGGCTCAAAAACAACCCCACCCTTTGTGGTGAAGTTTGCCCTGAATTTTTCACCTTTGGGCTCTTATGCCAAGGAAGAAATACCAACCAAAGAGGAAGGTTTGACCAAGTTCAAAGGGAAGGGCTCAGGGAATGGAAAGTCCTTTGAAACCTGGCTTGGATGGTGACTGCCTGACCCAGATTTTTCCTTTTCAAAAATATGCTCAGAACTCCAAGGTCCGGGTGTCATGTAGACATGGGCGTGACAGACTCACAGGGAAAACAAACCAGAGTGCAGCTGGAGCTTCGCTTAAAAAAATCCTCAAGCCTGAGTCAAGCCAGACTCCAAAGGTCAGTGTGCTATGGCTGGAATACCTGCGTGAGGTGAGGCTCGAGCCCACCCAGGCTTCTCCTGGGGCCAGCCCCTGTCCCATCCGGAGGCCTCTGTTCTTCTCCCCATTTCCCGGGTGCCTTAGTTCCTTCAGACATGGAAGCTGAGACCTACAAGGTGGCCCCAGAGTCACACAGCAGAGCTGCTGCCCTGGACTACATTTCTGCATCCTGGTCTATGCTGGCAGGGGCTGGTCTATGCAGGAGCCATGCCTCCTGCATCAGTGGTGCTGATGGAAGTGGAGCAGTGACGTATTTTGCAGGCCCTCCATCATGCTCCACACTTTGCTGGCATCTCTACTGCAAGCAAAAGAGGGCCTATCCTTTCTTCTTCCAGCAGGACAGCTTCGTGTGACCCAGCAAGGACACCTGGTCTCATCCCCGAGTTCCTCGTAAGTGGCTTTCCTTCCCCTATGGAAGGAAAGAGTGGGAGGAACTGCGAGACTGAAAGGCCGTCTCTCAGGCCAGCTTTTTCTTGGTTTCTGGTGAATGAGGCTGTTCAGCTCAGGATTACTTGGGCACCAGATCAGTGCCCACTGCCATGACAAGTCTGAGTCTCACTCCAAACCCCGCTACGTGGGCCCTTGCCATTCTGTATGTCCCAGAGCAGCGCATGAAAACCAGCTTCAGCTTGGCTTTCACACTGCACCAGTGGGCTTTCTTTATTCTCCCACCTGCTATGGACCCCATGGCTGGCAAACAGACTCCTCGACAGCATCTCACACCATCGTTCTATGTTCCACTCTGTGGTGCAGGTTGGTACCACGCAGGCCACAGTCCCCTTTGCTAGCTCTTTCTCCTTATGTTCTGCCAGTGGGGGTGGGGGTAGAAGGAAACAAGAAGGCAGGGGAAGGCAGCTGAGCCTTGCACCTGGCATCTTCCCCCCAGCGATGGTTCTTCAACCTGGCAGCAGAAGTCGGTCCCTCTTTCCAGCTTTTCTGTATAATTCTAGAAACAGCCTCCCCATGCTCTTCAGATATACCAGCCAGGCAGCATCCCTCCTCAGAAATCCGGGTCCCAACTCCTGTCTCAGGCAGCTGCTCTTCCAATCTTTTAGGTTTTTCTTAGCTCCTGACCTCCCTTTGTTCCTGCCCTGGGCTGGCAACTGCATTTTGTGATTATCCACTGCCTTAATGTCTTTTTATCCCCTTTCAGTCACCTGATAGCAGTCTGACCAATTCTCTAGATTAAATTCTCTCTGTTAAAATAACTGCTGTGCTTTGTTTTCCCAAACAGGCCCTGACTGACACTGCCCCCTCCACTGCTCAGCAGACTACTCAAAGAAGCTGTAATTTGCCATCTGTTTTTCATCTGTCCAAAGAGTAGGTGGATGTGACTGCCAGTTATGCTCTGTGGAGGCTTTTCTAGCCCAAAGCAAAAACCCCCTAGTGCCTTGGTTAGCCTGTGCAGCCTGATCAAGGCGGTTATGGATTCCCTCTGTCTTTAGAAGTAGCGAGGCCATTTTGCAGGGTCCCTTGAGATCCCTGGAGGAAGAGGAACAGTTGTCTGGGCTCAAGTTTTCTAAGGCTTGCGCCATCTCCCCTCCCCAGCCCCAACAATGACTGTGATGTAGTTCTCCAGGCTCCCAACTTCCGTGGCTCACTCATGGTGGCTGCATACCCTTGATGCCTACTCCTCTCCTAGACAGTCATCAGTGGATGGTTCCCTGGTGTCGTAGGATCTCTCAGGGCCCAGATGGAGTAAGGCAGAGATTCTAGCACACACAGTAGCCAGGCTTGAGCTTTTCCCAATTGGCAGCAATACCTATAAGACTCAGAACTAGGAGCGAATTCAGGGATCAACTGTCCCCACACTGATGGAGAAACCACTCTGCTGATGGGGAAACCAAGACCCAAAGATGTTGGGCATTCTGACCCAGGGTTACACAACTGTTAGAGTAAGGCGTGACTGAAACCAGATTCTGTGTCTCCGCAGAGCTCTGCCACGTCCCATACAATATGCAGAAATTACTCAGTCTCTGCCAAATCTTGACTGATCAGCTGAGGCCAGCCTGTTTCTGTCCAGTATCCTTTTCCCCGAGACTTCCTGGGAAGTCAGTAGAGTTCTCTGCTAAGCCTTGTCTCACCCCTGAGCTTCTTCTTAATTCTTTGTCTCCTGAAGCTCTTTATTACCCTCTACTTCTAGCCATCTCCCCTGATTCTTTTCCTGTCCTGCCTACCCTCTCCGCCAGCCCCAAAGCCTTTTAAGGGGAATGGGACCCTCAATTTGGGAGCTTCATTTTGCAGGGGCAAGGCCCTCACTTTCTCATTACTAATGAAACCTTAGCAGTTAGACTTTTCTTAGGATTCTGTAAATAGTGGCTTAACATTAATTCCAGTGGCCTGGAGTCTAGGAAGTCCTTGTTCCATTGCCACGTGGGCACTGAGTTAGCTGCTTTTCAATAAAGAAGTTTATCCTCAAATTTCAGGCTTGCACGTGCCATTCTTCTGAGGGCTCTTGAGAAGATGGTGTAACAGTCTGAGGAATCCAGACATAATGATTCGGTTGCTCAGCTCAGACTTCTTGAGGCATTTTCTCCTGAGACGTTGTGAGGACAGAAGAAAGGAAAGACATCACTTCCCTCTGCACATATTGAAAAAGTGAGTGTGGTGGTACCTGCCTATAATCCCAGCACTCTGGGAGGTGGAGACAGGAGGACTGTGATTTGGAGTCCAGATTGGGTGAGCCTCTGTCTCAAAATAAAAAATTTAAAAATAACATAGGATATCTCAAGGCTATCAGTGCCTCTTGTTGAGAAAAGAGGATGCAGAACAGGGTCCTGACTGTGTGGAGGACGAGGTTCTACAGTTAAACCCTTTAAGGCTGGAACAGGCTGTATGGGGACAGATTCTGGGCTCAGCTCTCTTTGATTAGTCCTTCTTGATTGGGAGTGTCTCCTTCAGGGTCATATCACCTCTGGGACACAGACTGACGAACTAAGAGACCTCATCACACTAGGAACCTCCCTTGCCAGGGATGCTGAATGACTCGGGGGTGGCAAAGGCTTCGAGGAGCTTCGGTGCAAATATAATATCTGCAGTGTCTGCCCCACACAGCCAGTTGTTGAATGGCATTGGTAAGGCCATTGCTTTTTATTTTGTGGATCTGATAAGAAGAAAACACAATAAAATATGTAATTTAAGTACCTTTGCCTCTATCACTTCTAAAGTCTTATCTATCATGTCTCATCTATCTGCTATACAACAATTTAAGAGCTTTTCTACATGAGCCACTATGTGAAAGTGGCCCCTGTACTGGAAACTCAAGTGACCATTTGATATGTGTTTACCCCTTGTTCCCGGGGAATGGTTCCTTCTGCCCAATAGCCATGGTCCTGCTGGGTGACCTGCCCCTATTTTGGTCTATTTGCATCAAAGATGACTCCAAATGGGTCCAGTTAGGTTTCCTCTTCCAACAAATTGGAGTTGTGTCTCATAATATGGAACCAATCCTGGCAAGAGTCTATTCTGGACCTAAAAGTATGCATCTGCGGAGTGGAGAGAAGAACAAAGACACTGGTCTTAGAAGAAGGAGAGCAGAGATGGGATATGAAGATCCTAGTGACCTTACAGTTTCCAGTTTACAACCCTGCTAAAAGGTGTTTGTTGCCTTCATGCTCTGAGCATAAAACACTGTCATGTCCTTGTAACACCTCCCTTTTTTCCATACAAGCCCATACTCATTTTCTGTGACTTGTACCCACTGAGTCTTAACTCATGGATGGGGAAAAGAAGTCACCAACTCCAAAGACTGGCAGGTGACAGGAGCATTGAGGCTAACGTCGATATGAATATTAGGCATTTGTTTTTGAACACTGACTGTATGCCAGACTTTAAATACCTTATATCCCTCAACTTTTAAAATCCATACAACCCTGAAAGGCATTTATTATAATCTCGCCTTACAGGGAAGGGAGCTGAGGCTCAAGGAAAAGAGATTAACTTTCTCAACTCACATAATGAGGGGTAGACTCAAACCCAAATCTGTGTGGCTTGAAAATCCTCTTTCAATTGCTGCACCTGCTTTCTCATGTACTGTATGACTGAAGAGGATACTGGCCCTGGCAGGCCAGTATTTAATATTACATTTAATATTAAGTGTAGCTGATTTATGGGGAGAAAAATCTAGGAAAGCAGGGGCAATTGTAGGCCTGAGGGTCCACTGGGTCAGTGTTTTGGGCCGCCCGTCCAGTACCCTGGAGAGCTCCTAAGGAGTCACAAAGACTGTTTGCTTCTTGTGGACATGGGCCCACCTGGTAGCTCCTTCCCTGTCATGATCCTCAGGGTGTTGAAGGTTGCTCGATGGAATACACAAGGGAGAGCTTATCCCTAGGACCCGAAGGATCATCCTGGCTCATCCTCTGTATTCCCTACTCTGATCTGCCCCACTGTAAATTCTTCTCTACATCAGCTTTTGGGAAGTGATGCAGACTTAGGATACTCATGTCTCCATCACCCAAGAGCTGAAAATAACTTAAAAGTCTCCTTTGAGCCAGCCCATCTTTTCATAGGTGAAGAGATTAGCAAATGTGATCTGTTAATCATGCCAAGCCTCCTCTGGTAATGCAAAACCAAACTGGCTGCTTTGCATAATAAAAGGTTAAAATTATGAGCCATACAGGGAACAAATAAAGCTTGATCATTCAGGCTCAAAATTTGTGACTGAACACCCTTTAGCTTGCTTTTCACATTTGCTCCATTGTCACACCTCTGCCCTCCACCTCAGCTGTTTATTTTTAATCCACTTTCCCCAAAATAGATGTTAATAATTTTCTTGCAGTTTCCCTGGCAGCATCCTCAGCATCGACCAAGAGCAACAATATTTCCTTGACCATATGCATTTGGGGTTTTCTTTGACACTGTAAATGGATTTTGTGCTCGGTATTTAAGTTGGCTGTTTGTGGGAAACATTGCCTAGTTCAAACTTCCTTAATAAGTTCTTCACGACTGCATTTGTGATGATGTTAATGAAATCATTCTGAATATCAGTGGGCCCATAATGAGCCTAGAGGCAGGGGCCAGGGTTAAGGCCCCGATAGAGGGAGTGCTGGGGTCAGGAGGGCAAGAGTGGGCACAGCTGTCTTTCTGGTTCCTAAAGGAAGATGAAGGTGAATTTTAGATCCCAGGGTCTGCATTTCCTTTCTGACTTTGGAGAGATTTGGTAGGGAGCATCCAGTAGTTTAATAGTCTGTCCCCAGTCTGGGGAGGAGAATGAGACTCAGAATCTGCTCTCCTAGGAGAAAAGTAAGTTTGGACTTTCCCTTCTGAGCTTAGGGAGAGACCTGGAAACAGGGTCTCTAAGCTTTTAGGATGCATTTGGCTTTGTTCCCTTCCTTGTTGCCCTCCACATTGGCCTGCCTCCCTACACTCTTCTCCAGTAGAGGAGACTGGGAGCAGCTGCCTGGCCCTTTCCTCCTTTTCTAGTCAGAGGTTGGCCTGGGCTCCCTCCTCTACCTTTGGCCACTTCCTTGGCCTACAGAGGGTGAAGGAGGCTTTGGGGGGACTATTTTAGGGCTGTATCAGTTTGCTCCCTGAGCTTTTGGGTCACCATCTATTCATTCTAGGCCAAGACAGCTATTCAGGGAAGAGGAGGGAAGAATCAAAGAACTCTACAGGACCATTTGGATCTGAGATAAAACAGAGAGAAACAGTGCCATCAGTGTAGGCCATCATGGTCCTCTGTGTGCATGGTGGCACTGTACAACTCAGAGGTCCCATTCGTGCCTCATATCTCTCAAATCTGTAGATAAATTGTGACAGGTTCCTGGTCGCCAGCTACCTTACACTGACAAAGTCACTGTATTATGACATGATTTCAACAATTAGGAGGAAGGCGTGTTGTGGAAAGGAAACTCTTTTCTACTTTGTGTAAAGGTGTTATGTGGGCTGAGGTGGTCTTCTGTTGGGAACCCCATACCTTCTGAGGGACTTTCTGCGTTATGCCTGAAATAAATTTCATTCTGCCAGTTGTGTCAGGCTCTGGGAATGTGAGACCAAACTGGTTTGCAAACTGCCATTGAGGGTAAGAAAAGTGGGAGTCATAGGGAAGTCATGACCAGCAGGGCAGTTGGGCGTTCTGTAAACAGTCGTGTGACCTCTCAAACCTCAGCTCATCTTCTATGGATGGCAAGAGCTATAAAGCTCAGTGACCTTACGTACCAGGGGCATCAGAAGACACAGTCATGAAAATGATGCTTATGTGCTTTGGAATTTGGAGTTGTTTAAAAGCTCTGATCCCATAATATACACAAAGCTGGAGCAGAGGCCAGATCACTCTATCCACCCCTGGAAACAGTAGTTCCATTTCATCCTTCTAGACATTCCAGAGCCACTGGAATAACAGTCTGCTCTTCAGAAGGGCTATTCAATAGTGATGGCCCTGCCTGGCCCCTCTGGCTCTTTTCATAAGAAAATAAGCAAGAAGGCAATGCTTGCAGTAAGCAAGTAGGACCAGGGGCCAACCAGACAGCTGCAGGGGGCCCTGGGTGGTCCAGGTGTGGGACTTTCACTCTGGGCAACAGATGACCCGGCCCAGTAGCTTGCCAGTGATTTCCCCCCATAGAGGTCACCAGGCGGCTAGGAGATGTGACTTCTCCTCACCATGGCTGCAGACAGTGCCTCCCCTTTGAGGACATTGCCAAGCTGACCAATGGAAGGGCTAGGAGAGATGGTCTCTGAGGGCCCTGTCAACTCAGGTTGGTGTGATTCTGGGCAGTCACCCCCTAACATAGCCTGACGGTGCCCGGGAACGGGACATTTACATGCTGTTTGTGTCTACTTTGGCTCTCTCCTTGGAGCCTAGATCTCTCAGACCACCTCAGGCAGCTTTGTTGGAAAGAACCACCTTCGTTTCTCATCTGGGCACTGGATATGCCCCAGCCTGTTCTGTGGCCCCAGCTTCCAGACAGCTGGTCTCCCAGCTGGAGTACACAGAAGTGCCAGAGCAGCAGAGGCACTCATACAACTGACTTTAGAGAGAGGCTTGAAGGGTGTGTGTGTGTGTGTGTGTGTGTGTGTGTGTGTGTGTGTGTGTTTTCCTCCCTTGGAGAAGCTGTTCCCTGAAGCCAAACGTCTCAGCTTAGGTGAATGCAAAGCAGATAAAAATAGGTTTTATTCAGAGTGACAGACATGAGAAGGAGGGACAAGTTCCCCCTCTTGAAAAAATCAGCACAGGCCTTGGGCTACAGTTGGCATTGTGGGCATTGCTTTCCATACTCGTCCCTGTCCTCAGCCTCTGGATGGCAGCCCTAGATGAGTGTTCTCACGAGCACCCTAACTCAAGGAAGGACGGGGGTTTGTAAATCGTCATTTAATAAAGAATTGGTTGTCAAGCAAAGACACTTGGCCAGATATAATAATAGCCAGGTTTATTATTTTCAGGTGATCATGGTAATTATAGTATGCTAACTATTTGTTGAGTGCTGGCTACACATTAGGAAGTGTTACATGTATTATTTCACTTAATTCTTATAGCAAAAGTTTAAGAGTTATAATGTCATGGTGAGTTTTGGCAGCCATAACAAAATATAGTAGACTGGGATAGATGGGGTCCATAACAACAGAAATTTATTTTTCACAGCTCCAGAGGCTGAAAGCCCTAGACCAGAGTGCCATCGTGTTCAGGTTCTGGTGAGGGCCTTCCAGATTGAAGACTACTTACCCTTCACACAAAGGGAGAGACTGGGGGAGTCTGGTTGACCTCAAGACCCTCATAGTCAACTTCCAAAGTTCCCATCTCTTAATATAATCACGAGGGGTTAAGGTGTTCAACGAATCAATTTTAGAGAGGCATTAACATTCAGTCCATTGAATATTATTAGCTCAATTTTCCAGACAGGAAACTGCACCTCTAAGATAGTAACTTGCTTGAAATGACCCGGCTGGTCTGTAGCCATGCCAGGATCCCAGCTTAAGTTTGTCCAGCCATAAAGCCACTTCCCCACAGGGAAGTGTGGGCAGTAAACCTACTTAAGGCGCAAGCAGCACAGATAAGAATTTGTCCAGCTAGGGATACTGGGGAAGAGGGCAAAGTGACATACAGGTGTTGTTGGCACAGACAGAAGTTCAGTGTCTGACATGCTCAATACAAGAAATAGCTGGGTCATGGGCCTGATAGAAGGGCCTTCGTTGCCAGTGGCCTGGGGAGCTGTGGAGTGCTGGAACAGGTGCTCCTTGTTTGGGAGTCTGGCAGGAGGGCAGAACAGTGATTCAGTACGCAAGGATTCAGCCCTAGGAAGGGGTAGCAATGAGAGGAGACCCCATATTCATGCCTCATAGTTCTGAAGCCTTTAGAAGCTTCTACATGTTTAGAATCCTGGGTTTGCCTAGGAGCCACTCTGGGGAGGGTCTTAGGAGTTAGTCTTGCAAAGCTCCTTGGATGACTCTTACAACTGACTTTAGAATGAACTGATTCAGATGTTTTGGGGACTGTACCATGGGAAACTTCAGCCTAGAGAAGCGGTGAGTACAGGGCAGGCCCTGATCTTAGAGAAAGTGAGCTGCAGGGTAACTAGTCCATACTGGCACCAGACACAAGGTGAGGGCCAGCTGCCTCCAGGGCAGCCACTGGGCCTCAAGAAGTGTGCCCTAAATCATTCCACAAGGAAGGGTTGATGGAGCAAGAGTTAGGATTTGGGCTTAAAGCCATGGGAAGGGGAGACTATCTTGTTTTCTCCATGATTAACATTTTGTAGGACTTCCCATATCCTTGGAGTGAATTCTAACTGTTTTCCTGGCTTTCAGTGATTGAGCCCTTGACTACTCCTCTGGTCTCATCCCCTCCCAGCCTCCTCATCCCTATTTTGCTCTACTCAAGTCATTCTTCTTTCAGTCCCATAGTATCTATTTTCCTCCCACCCCTGAGCATTGTAATTTTCATGGCCCTGTGCAAGGAGCTTCATCTCCCTCTTGGTAGCCTCCTTCTCTCTAGTCCTAAAGGAAGGGTTACTCTTCACACATGTGAGCGATGCCTGAGATGGCTGTCCTCACCCTATCCAACAATCACTGCACATCTCCACTTCGGTTGCTTCCTTACATGGCTTTCACCAATGTCTGTGGTGTCTTATTCCCTCCTCACACCCAATTAATTATCAGTTCCGTAAGGCTTGGGGTAGCACATGTCAGCCTGGTTCACTTCTATATCGCTGTGACCTACTACTTTGTCGGCATCTGATTAGTGTTTGGGGCAAGGTGGGGACTGTTTGAGGAAATTTCTGGGCTTCTGAAAGCTCTCTATGAGAAATTTTCTGAAATGTTTTCTTTAATTTAGCCTTTAGACATGGGAAAGTAGAGGAGATTCATATTGCTTTGGGGCTCTGTTGTCTGAACCTGAAATAGACAAGAGTGAGCAGAGCATGCTCGCTCTCATTGGTGCTTGAAAAGGTAAAATAATACAACAGCCTTTGTTACCCTTCCTCAAGGGTACTTCAAGTGCCACTGCACCAGGAAGACCTTCCTGATCACTACCCTTCCTTTGCCAGGTGGGCGTGATTGCTCCCTCCTCTGAATTCTGCTGCGCCTTTGCCATGTCTTCTGAGCTGCTGTTCACATGTGCCGGGATTGTGCAAAGGCTCTGTGTGCATGCATTCCTTGTGTGGTAAGTGCGCATATTTGGATTCACCAGGATGTTTTTGATTGCTGGTGACAGAAACTGGCTCTCCTTTGTGTATGGAACTTTATCCTCTTCCACTGAAGAGTTTTCCTCTCTGTGGGAGGGAGTGTGAACACTGCCAACTCCAGGTTTATTTCATCACCACTCTCCCTGGAAGAGCCTCTCTCTCGTTCTTGTGTCAGAAAGCACAGAAGTGTCCTATTGGCCCTGCCTGGGTCACATGCCCAGTCCTGTGAATGGGAAAGGGATTGGTGAAGACTTGGTCACGTGCTCACCCTTCAGCCAGGACATAGCCCACTGTGCTTGGTAACCTTGCTAAAACCATATAACTACAGTGGGAGGAGTCCGAAAGGGATGTGGAAGGGAGTGCTGGGAACATGAGTGAAATAGAATTTACTAAGCTACCTTGTAATGGCTTCTATTTTTAGTGTGTCTACAGATTATACATGCTGTAAGACCTTTCAAATATGCTATTTCTGATTCCCTTAATAGTCAGTCAAGGTGGGTACTGTGCTGCTGTTTTTAAAGATGAGAAAGCTAAGCTTAGAGAGCTTAAGTAACTTGAGTAAGCCACATAACCAGCAAGTGGCTAGTCCAGGATTCAAACATAGGGTGTTTATCCCCAACATCCAAGGTGGTTCCATTGTATTATTGTTCCTGGTGATAGAGGTGAGCCATTACGAGATGTAAAGAGTAGACAAGCTCACATATTCTTACCTGTGAGTTTTATAAGTCAGACAAGTTGGTTAAGCTACAATAGCACAGTCCCCAAGTCTCAGTAGCTTAAAACTACAAGGTTTTTCTTCTTACTCAGTGTATATATCTGATATAAGTTAGCAAGAGCCATGCTTGTCACAACAGCCCAGGGGCAGGGCTGATGGAACAGCCACATGTCTAATAGTGCCAGTCACCTGCAGAAAGAAAAGATGCTCTGGGGAGTCTAGAATCTTCTTCTTACAACTCTTTTGCCAGAAGTAGCCACATGGCATCATCCTAAGCACGAGGTGGGGGGTGGGAGCAAAAGTGCATATTTACCATGCAGCATCCAAAGAAGTCATAAAAATGCAGACAGCAACATTAAAGAGTTATTTAAGATAATTCCGTGATTTGATATGATAATGCTCTCTTGTATCAGTGTATTATTTAAAAATGTGCCATAAAGTTTATTTTAATCATTCCTTATATCTGTAGGGTGTAGAGATGAATTTGGACATTTTCCTTATTAAGTAAATGATGAATGTTGTCTAATTTACTTTAATTATGCAAAAAGGTGATTTGTTGCAAATCATAATTTGATACATGTTTCATTTGAGAACCAAATGTATTTTAAAATGCAGATTATAGTTGTATGTTATAGCATGAAAAAACAAGACCTGATATTTTGAATTCTTGAAATTTTGTTTCTGAAAAATCAGCTCTTTTTAAATGTGAAGGATTTCCCCCCCATTACATATTGAGATTAAAGGGAAAGTTTTCAACTGCTCTTTGCAAGCATTCCTCAATAAAACATTACAGGAATGGATCTTTATCCTTAATAAACAAAAAAGCCAAATTGGCTTTAATTGCTGCTGTGCTTTCCTTTTTTAGCATTGGTTTATGGAGTAGTAGGGAAATTTTCAGAATTATTCTATATTTTATGTTCCTCATTAACTTTGATATTGTATTTCCATCTCAGTGTTCCTTATGTTTCTTGTCTTAAGTCAATGGCCCATATTGGGTGTAAATTAAAGTGGGTATGACTAAACATAAAAAGACTTTAGTAGTGTGTGATGGGGAGACCCACCAGGATAGTTATCAGTGCTTGGCTGAGAGATGAGCCAGTGGGTTGCAGACTGAGTCACTGCCAACCTGATCTGAACTTCACTAAAGCTGGTAGGGTGATCCTGGCAAGTCTTCGGAGCACTGATGCTCTTTCTTTTGGAAAAGTGATTGTTATTGATTTAGAAAAAAAAAATGGAAACATACTCTCATCCCCTTTAAGGGCAAGATTCCCTTGTTGTATCCTCAGGAGTCCTTAGGGATCACAATGTTATCCAGCACTTTTCCACCAGGCTGTAAGTGGCCAGGGGCACCACCCAGAACTCAATCACTGCTGGTTACAGCCCCTTACTTTCCAGCCCTCCCCCCCTTTTTTGTACCGGGGATTTGTAGTGAACATGTAAAACATAGGATTTTGTGACCCCACAAAAAGCAGCATATTAAAGTAGAATTAAAATAGAATTAAGTGAAACTTCAGCTGACATCCAGCTGAGTGAAACTGAGTGAAGCTTGACAGCTGACAGCTTGAAAGCTGAGTGTTAGGACAGATAAGAGTTTGCTGTGATGCTTGTGGAATTCCCCCCGACCATCTGCTGTGACACGTGATTGCTGTGACATATGATTAAGAGTTTGAAGTGAGGTAATGGAGAGTGTCGAGGCGTTAACTTAGATAGAACATATGGATGTATTAGATAGAGATAAGTTAAGGTATAAAAGGAGAAGACTGCAGACAGACGTCGTCCTTGACGACCCCGTCAAGATGACCAGCTGAAGCTCTGCCCGAGACGCAGACATTCTGTTCCAGATCCCGACTGCCGAGCCGAGGATCCTGTTCGCTGAGACGAGAGAGCGAAACCAACCCAAGACCATCATCGACATCGAAGTCGCGGCTCGACCCTGCGAAGCCGAGGACCAGACTACAACCACCAGGTCGTATGCCCTCATCGAGAGCATGCTAGGACTTATGGTTTTTCTAGAGATATTATGGGCTGGCATTACTTCTATATTGCGCTGGCAATTGTAGTTGTATCCTTTGTGTGGGCTTGTTTCTGTATTACTGATGAGAGTAAAAGCATTTATGAAAACGAAACTGAATTGGCAATCATTGATGAACTGACCCGTGATCCCGAATCACAAATCGGTGCTCGCGACAGGATTGAACTCAGGACCTTGCACTTGTGAGACAGTCACAGCACCACTGAGTTAAATCCCTGGTCCAATGTATATATATACTTTTGAGAGTAGAAAGAATTTATTGAGAGAAATCTTGTCTAAGAGAGACAGAAGAGTGACCAGAAAGTGGGTGGCCTGCCTACCCTACTTCTCAGAGTAGAAGCCACAGGTGAGGTAGGTACAAGGTGGGACAAAACTACAGTCAACTTATAAGAGTATAGTGGCTAACGTAATATTGATCCAATGAGACATCACAAGGTGGGACAAACTATGCTGAACCAGTAAGATTACAAGTATAGTCGCTGAGGTAATATTGGTTAAATGAGATTCAAATGCAGCCCAATGTATTTTGTATAGGCTTAGATAGTTGGTATTTGTTGTTTGTTGTTGGTATTACTTGATATTGGAGGTAGCAAAGATTAAAAGAAGAGAAAGACCAAGCACCTTTTCTTGAGTTCATTCTGCTCCCTTTACCAGAGGGTCAACAGCATTGCCTGATCTGCTCTGGTTGTGCCCGTGTGGCCCAGGGACTGAGAGGGATGGTGGAAAGGAGGACCTGTCCCGGCCAGAGAGAGGCAAACACCCAATAACCATTTTGTGAACTCCCAGGCTGTGCCCTCCCCTGCCGCGAGGAGCCGAGATAATGAAGATAGAACAAGTTCAGGGAAGGGCAGCAGAAGCCATGCAGGAGACATGACTTATGGGAAGAGAGTTTAATTGGTTTAGCCTAAAAAGGCCATTACGCTCTCTGGTGGACACGATAATGCTATAAATATCCACAAGGTGACAACAAGAGAGTGAAGATGAAATTCATCTCACTGGATGTGTATGACTGTGAAGACCTGGCTGGAGGGAGTGCGGACTTGCTGAAGATTAGAGCCCGTTTTAGGCAGCTAGGAGTTTTCATCAGTCAGAAACCTCTGTCCCAATAAAGCAAACATGCAACTCTGCTGCGTGAAACAGGTGGGCAGCTGAGCAGCTCTAGGTAGAGTGAAGGACAGGTCCCTCCCCTGGGACCAGCCCACCCACTGTCAGTATTCTGAGGCCTTTCGCCTCTGATGTTCAGTGCCAGGAACGGCCACGTCCAGGAAGAAGCCAGAAAGGGAGTCACACAGTAATACGACAATGGAAAGCAGCTTGAAGCAGGGCTGGGAGGTGGAAAGGGATTTTGGATAACAGTCCAGCCAATTCTGAGCTTCTTAAATGCTGAGCTGTAGCTAGCTGCAAGCTGCAGTCTTGGGAGCAGGGATTGGCAGTGGGGCTGAGGGACTTGTGTACATGTCTGAGCCTGTGGGGTCTCTCATAAGTTGAGAAAGGGGCTCAGCTTTCAGGGAGCACCTTGGAGTGTGCAGGTGGTGAGGGGTTAGGGGCAAAGAAAGGGCGCGCATCTTCTGGGCTTGAGGACTTCCCCCCGGGAGACAGGTGGTACAGGTGGGAGTCTCACCCCGCAGTATGGAGGTCTCAGCTCCAACCCCAGCTCTCTATAAACCTGCTTGTGTGACCTTCAATTTCCTTGACAGAAGCGTAAGGCTGGATGAGAACAAGGACTGGAGTGGAGGGGTCAGCAAGTGGACTCTTAGAGCAGACCATCGCCAAGTGAAAGCCAACTCCATTTCTTACTAACTGAAGGTCTTGGGAAAACCGAGTAACTTTTCCATGCCTTGACTTCTTAATCTGCGAAGTGGAGACAGCGACTTCATACTATGAATTATAAGAACTCTTAAAAGTAACCCATGAAACGGTTTAGCAGAGTGCCTGGGGCATTTAAATGCCAGATTTGGTTACTTTTATTATGTAAGTAGTTGAGTCCCAATGTTCTTTCCAGCTTAGTGGAGGGGGCGCAGGAAGTTTCCATAGAAAAAGGAATGCGCCACAAGGAGGAAAACAGGGAAGGGGACACAGAAGAACTACAGCTACCGCTGGGGATATTTAGTCCTGCCCTTGTGTGAATGGGTTCATTCGTTCATTCACTGACGCGATTGGAGCATCCATCAGGGAGGCCAGGCACTGCCAAGGACCAGGGTCCCTCACAGAGCTGCCCGGTTTCTGCCCTCACAGAGATTGTGGCTGCGTGGGGGCAATGGTGACCAAAACCCAGTGCCTAGTGCTTTTACAGCAAGAGGGAGGGAATGGGATCCTGAGGAGGATTCCTGTCTGGTCTGGCCAGAGGCAGCAGGCAGTTCTCCAGGATGTGAGGGACACATTGGAGCTATAGAGGGAGTAGGTTAGAAGGAGCTAGAGAATGAAAAGAGAAGGCTGAAGACAAGCACATGCAAAGGCCCAGGGGTGAGAAGGAGCAGCACACAGTTAGGAGTCGCAAACCTTTGGCAAATATAGAGAGGTGGAGAGACCCCATAGACCGTGTTAACGTGTTTGAGTTTTATCCCGGAGCTGACAGGGAGCCAGTGAAGACTGCTGGGCCAAGGAGTGACAGGATCATATTGGTGACCTGGAAAGACCTCCTGATTTTCTCTAGGAGATGAATAGAAATGGTAGTTATGGCTGGGGCTGTGGGAATCATCACAGCAAGAGAATCAGCGAGAGCAGGAGAGAATCAAAAGATGTCTTAGGGATGGGACAAGCAAGTGTTTGTGACAGAGTGGATATAGGAGAGGAGTCCAGGCTTGTACTTCCTTTTGTGTGAATATCACAGTAACTCTGCTATTAGCATCTCTCAAAGTCCAGGCAGGACATGAGAGAGGCCAGTGAATTCACTCAGTCTCACACAGGTAGGCAGTGGTTTAGCTGGGAATCCTGCTCATTGTTTAGCTCTCACCATGGCATTCGTCCCCAGAGTGGTATTACTTCTTCTCTCTCCGACTTCTCCTTCCCTACTTCTACTCCATTCTGTCTAGCAGGGCCTTTCAAAGCCACCTTTCAAAGCCGGCAGGCCTGTGGCCAGCCCATTCCCAGCCCTCTCCTGCCCTCTTATGGCCACCCTGAATGAGTCTTTGCTAGGAGCCTTCCCAGGACTGGTCAGTTCAGCCTAAGGAAAACGGTTGGACAGTTAGTTACCCTGGCAAAGATGAGAAGCAGACTTAACTCCACTAAAGCTGCGAGATCTCCTTCCCCAGCAGACCACCCTGTGGGGGACGTTTGGATTCTCTTTCCACCAGGGGACAAGGACATCTCCACAAGTCACCCTCTATTCACAAACGCAGCTCTGGGCTGCTTGGAAATCAGAGACACTCAATGATGGAGCCTTTTATGCTCTGGTTCTTTCTGTCTCTTTT